GTTTGATCTATTGTATAAGAGATTAGTAAACCTAGCCTAAGAGATTAGATGTCTAGCATGCTAATTGGTTTTATGGAACTTGATTTTAATGCTTACTTGTTATAGATACACCACCAAAAGTAAGTTTGAAATGTGATTTATCAAAGGGATTAATGCCAAGAGATTGGATTAGTCTTTCTTAGTGTTCCTTACCTAAGGTTGAGTGTTTAAAATTGCTTGTTTTGATCACCCTAGACATGAACATGAATCACCCTATCACCATTGCTTTGATCTTGAACCATCTTTTAATCTTTGAAGTCTAGCTTTTACTCTGTTTAGTTTAGCTTTTACTCTGTTTTTGCTTTGTTTCTTATTGCTTTTACTGCTCTTTGCTTGCTTTCTTTTGCTTATTTGCTTGATCACTTAGGTTGCTAGAATCAAAACCCCTTCTATATTAGCTTAAATTAACATAGTTCTCTGCATCTCAATTGTCATTACATTCCCAAGTGGATTAACACCTCAAGTACTACAATGACATGTGTGTTTGAGGATTGATCTAAGGATTCAAAAACCTTAACATCAATTGGCGCCGTTGGCTCTTGGGATTGTTTTTAATGCATTTGAGATTGAGTTCTTGCTTAGACTAAGCATTTATTTCAGTACTAAATTTCATTTTATTTTGTTTCTCTTATAGGTACAATGTATCACCCTCTAGCTTACTACCAAGGCTCTCAAAGTGGCTTCAACCATGGGTCCCCTTATGAAGCTTATGGTGCTGCTTATCACAGCAGTTATGGAGACCAGCAACAGTTTTCTGATCCCTTCCCTCCATACCACGCCCAAGGTAGTCCACTTCCACCTCATGAGTTGAGTGTCACTGAATTGATGCAGCAAGTCATAGCATTACAGCAACAGCAGTTATCACACCTTGGAAAGAGTAAGCCCCTACACCAAGATTATTGTCATTTTTTACATAACAAGGACATCAACTTCAACAAAGAGGCTGAAGCATCCATTGAAGAGACTGAAGAAATGCTTTATGGGGCTCAAGAAGTGTTCTCCACCACAAGCTCTACTAAGAAAATCAATGTGGACATTGACACTAAGTGTTGGGGAAGTGATCTTCATTTGAGTTCAACTACTGAGGATGAGGCTGTTATAGAGGAGTTTTGTCATTGTTCAATGAGGACATTGAAGCTGAGGTTGTAGAAGCTGAAGTGGAGGTGAAACAAAGAGCTGAATTGGTTGAGCATGACAAGCTTGTTGGAGTATGATACTCTCTAAAGGAGCTTGCAAATCAGTCACCTCCCCAAAAGAGACAAGCTGAACCCAAGAAGAAGAAGCAAGAGCCTTTACTCAAAGATGAAGCATCACACATTGAGGATGAGCTTGAGTACCCACCTCCTATACCTTATCCTGGTAGATTTCTTATAAAAGCTCAAAAGGCTGTGCTCTCTAAGTTCAGAAAAGAGATGGATGAGGCTGGTGTTCACTTGCCTCCACTAGAAACTCTGATGCAAGTGAAGTATCAAGAAAGGTTCATCAAAAAACTTCTTGGGAACATAGAAAAGGTGGAGCCAATTTTGAACTCTTTAGTTGGCAAGGAGAACAAGAAAGAAGAGCAATAAGCCTCCATAAGCTTGGCAATCCAGGAAAGTTTCTAGTCTCTTGTGAACTTGGTGAATTGGTTGTGGAAGAGGCCATGTGTGACACAGGTTCAAGTATCAATGTGATGTCTCTTGAATTGCCAAAAGAATTAGGAGTCACCAAGCTGAGACCATATGATTCCAGAATCAGTTTTGTGGACTCATCTTCAAGCACACCTGTTGGTTTCATTGAAGACTTTTCTGTGAGAATTGAAGCCTGCAAGATACCTACTGATTTTGTTGTGATGGAAATGGCTCACAATCATAAGCCTTCTCTACTACTTGGGACTCCATTTCTGAACATAGCAGGTGCTGATCTTGACTTCACCAAAGAGAGAGTCACCCTCAAGAAGGTGAATGATGGAGTTAGCTATGCAATGAAGCCTCCACCTTCAAGCTTTTGTGGAAGCATCACTAATGTTGAGAAAAGAGCTGCTAAAAAGCTACATGATGTCAAGGAAAAGCTGAGGGAATTCAAGGCTGAAGTGCTAAAAGAAGATGAAGACCCTCTTGACCACAATGAGTATGATGGTGAAGCCTTTGATGGTGCTTGTCTTCTTGACTTGTTTGATGGAATCAAGGTGAAGCTCTATGGTGGACCAAGGAAGCCGAGAAAGAGAGTCAAGAAACCTAAGGAGAAGCTCTACTGTGGAGCCAATACATTGTTCAAGAAGAAAGGAGAAGGAACATCAGTTCCAGTCCATCCTCCTCCATGATCTTAAATAGCAAGAAAAGTCAAGCTTAGTGAATCTAAACAAGCACTCTTGGGAGGTATTCTCATGTTATTCCTGTATATATTTTTGCCTTTTAAGTTTGTGTCTGTGTTTCCCTTTGATCCTAGGAGCAGGTGGAGTTCAAAGCAAATGGATAGTTGAATAAGTGACAAAACCTCCTTTCTGCCAAAACCTTTTCTAAGGTACCTAACTCCTCTTCTTTCTTTATGCATCCTTTTTGCAATCATTTTTAGTTTGTTCTATTCACCTCCTTCAAGCTTCTATTACACAAGAGACTGTGTAATTTAAGTGTGGGGGGAGGGCATTGCATTTAACATTGTGTTTTGCTTTCGTATTTTCTCTTTTACATACTTGAGTCTCATGCATCCATAAAAGTTTCAAATTATTTGGAACCAAAAATATCATTTAGTTGCATTTGCATTACTAAGATTGAGTCTAGATGCATTTCATATAGGTTTGCATACATTTGCATAGGGAGTAGATGATAAACACTTGTCAAGATGTTAATGTTTGAGTTGTTTCCAATGCTTTGGTTATCTGCTGTTTGATTGCATTGAAGTGAGTTTGAAGTTAAAGCTGCACCATATCTTGAATTCTTGCATTGATGTTCATGTCTTATGCTCAAGCTTGCTTTGATTTGATTCCAACTCTATCTTATTAGAACCATAATCCTGACTTTGAATTATCTTGTTTGTGCATTTTGAGTGATTACATGGCTACCCATATACATATTTGGATTATCTTCTTCCCTTCTTACCACTCTTGTTAATCCAAGTAGATGATCCTCATCATTATGGGACAGTTAACCACACCATAAACCAATCCTTCTTTCTGAACCTAAACACTATTGTGAGAGTTGCAAGGCCTTGCATTGCATCATTTTTTATTTTATCTTGGCAAAAAGTGTTAGGAATAAGGCTGGCAAGGAGAAGCTCTCTTGTAGACACAAGCTTGCATTTTGAGCTTGGTATTAGGTTAGGAGTTTAGGAAAGGATAGTGTAAGTGGTTTGAGCTTTAAATGTTTACATCTTTTGACAAGAAGAAGAAGTATGGGATTGGTAGTATCGGGGAACAGTGTATTTTGTGGTCAAGTTAATTAGGAAGAAAGCTCTAAGTGTTAAAGAAGAAGGGTGCCAACAACAACAAATCTTACAAAAGGTCATCCAAAAGGAGAAATCAGACCAAGCAATCCACCAAAGGTGATAAATATGGCGCCAATCATACAACAAAGAAGAGCAAGTTCCAAAAAGAAGTCAACCACATAAGCAAAAGAAGAAGGAGTTTCCTTAAATATGAAGAAGGAAGAGATCAAGTGCTTTGGGAAAGAGTAGATTTAGGAGTTTCACTTGGGGTTTTAGAAGTTATCAGGTTCATCTTGGGTAAAAAGGATAGAAGAGAGCTTTGACTTGCATGCTTAGGTGTGCTTTTACCTTTAGCATTTTGCATAAAATAGAATCATTTCATTGAGTGATCCCCTGAATCTTTGAACCCTTATTTGAATGAGATCAATTTCATCTCATAACCAAGTCCCTTGACCAAATCACTGCAAGAAAATTTGTTTATAGCTACAAATTTAGTTGTAGCTATGATTGATTATTTGTGGCTATTTGGGCGTTAGCCACGACTTGACACAACACAAATTTGTGTCATTGAGCTCGTAGCTATCTGGCATTCCTCGCTATTCGTAGCAATGGTGCCACAAGAACTAGATTTGTGGCTAATAGTAACATATAGACACGACCCTATCTGTATCTATATTTGCCACAACTTACCACAAATTTACCATAGCAATTAGCCACCGATAGCCGGAACTTATTCGTGATAAATAGGCACAAAAAGTCACCACTCAAATGTTTCTAATATAACTACAAATTAGCGAGAATCAATCCGTATTTATTAGCCACTAATAGACATATCTTAATCGTAGTGATGACAATACATATCTACAAATTATTTATAGTTAATATATATATATATATATATATATAAACAAAAAATTTGAATAATTGTTCTCAAATAGACACAAATTGTGATTAACAGAAAATTTTAAATAAATAAAATACACAATTAAATTGAATACAGTTTCTTATAAAACTAAAATAAAACATTTATTAGCCGATTACATATATATTAACCGATTGGAAAAAATAACTAAAATAGATGATTACATATATAACAGCCGATTGAAAATCTAAAAATACCTTAAGTACTAGAGTTAATATATGGGGGCCGGGTTGGATCGTCTGGGTTGAACAATGGGGGGCTGGGTTGGATCGTCTACAGACTCACTCGGACATGAGAAAGCTTCCTCATCATGTGGAACTTGTTGAAGTGTTACGGGATCGACTCCATTGATCTGCAAAAGCACTGCCATCGCTTTCTTCATGTCTGCACATTCATTGCTTAGCTCGCCTACGTTGCCTTCCATAGCGACAATATAATGTTAGACTAATCATGGCTATAAACTTTAAAATTAATTGAAATTAGAAATTATTTAGTTTGATAATGAATTTTTAATTTCTATTTATTTTAAATTTTGTTTTTATTAACTTAAATTACTTATATTAATTTGGATTTCATAAACATAAACATAAATATATTAATCTTCAAATTACATTGTACAATCAATCATATACTAATTTTAATTTGAATCTGAATCGAAACTTGAATAGGAATATTCATGACACTCATCTTCTAAATCACCTTCAGAAACGTATTCATCATTAGGATTATTTATCGGTATAGGCTCATAATCATCTGATATGTCTTCGAATGCATGTGTTTCAACTCGCATAATATTAGTGCTTGTTACCGCTCTATCGAGAATGTCATCTTGAAACGCAATTTGAGAAACTTCTTGGATTTCACGAAACCCCCTTGGTATAACTTTTGTCGTTGCCCACCATTCATCTCTAACTGGACGCAAGCGTGGATAAGGAATGTAACAGACTTGGTCACATTGCGCTGGTAATATGAAAGGATCATATATAACGTAATGCATCTAGGGAAAAACATCGATAATACCAGATGAATGCTTTCGTATTCCTCGACCAAGTGTGGTGTTGAACCATTCACATTTGAAAATCATGGCTTTTAGCCCAACGGCACCGTGATACTCTATCATGAATATATTTTTGATCAGGCCAAAATACTCTGTGTCACCGGTTCCACGAACACACACACCATAGTTCATCGTCTTCCTGTTTTGTCCATGGTGATGTGTATGATCCCCTCGAATAATACATAGGTCATGAAGTGAATTGATGTTGTGGACCTTGTACAAACTCAAGCATCCACAGTGGAAAATCATATGACTCGCTAGCATCGTTAATCTGCATTAGTTTTTAAACTTTTAATATAGATAAGATAGAAAAAAGATAAGTATTAAATTTTAACTCTTACGTAGTTTTTACACCACTCTGCAAATTATTCGTCTTTTGCTCTAGTCATTGCGTCAGATGTAATATTTGGGATGTTAAGCGTCATAAACTATCGACCCTCCAATCCAGGCCTTGTTTTTAACCTTCTTTTTCAGATGATACATGTATCGTTCAAACGGATACATCCACTTATATTGCACCAGACCACCTAAAGAAGCCTCGTCTGGAAGATGCACAGGTAGATGTTCCATTACATAAAGAACAACAGAGGAAATATTTTTTCAAGATTCCAAAGCTTCAAGGCAATATTTTCTTTTTATATTGCAACATCTTCGATCTTCCAAACTTTTATAGATATATATCGAAAGAAGAGTGCAATATCTACACATACATATAATAAAAAAAAGTGAATAGCATTAAATAAGTCTAAAATAATTAATTTTAAAATATTTCATACCTGAGATTGCCGTGTGAACATTTTTGGGAAGAAGCTCTGCAAATGCAACTGGTAGAAGTCGTTGCATGATGACATGACTGTCATGGCTCTTTAAACCTGTTATCTTCCCACTATCCAATTTGATACAATGTGAAAACTTGGACACATATCTATCTGGAAATTTGATATCATTCTTCAACCATGTAAGAAATTTTTGTTTACCCTCCTTTGATAATCTAAAGTTGGAAACAGTCACTTTTCCATCTTGAGTAACCTCAAAGTCGGATCTTCGACAAAACGAAGAGAGATCTATTCTTGATTTTACGGTATCTTTTGTCTTTCCTGGAACATTTAACACCGTGTTCATGAGATTGTCGAAGAAAATTTTCTCAATATGCTTGAAATCAAGGTTGTGTCTGAGAAGTAGATGCTCCCAATATGGTAACTCCCAAAATATACCTTTTTCATCTAATTGTGGTGAACACCATACCCCTCAATTTCTCTAGCAGCATTGTCATGTCCTTTGCCTCCACAATCAACAGAGTTAAACAGTCCGTGGATGTTTTTTATCCTCTCATGAAGAATTTCATCCCCGTTTAACCATGGCGGAGGATCATCATGCATTGTATCCCCTTTAGAAAAGCTCTCACATTCCGCCTATAAGGATATTTGAGAGGCAAAAACCGTCGGTGACAATCAAACCAAGAGTGTTTTCTTCCATTTGGCAACCAAAATGACTTTGTCTCATCCATACAATACAGACAAGCCAACCTGCCATGCGTCATCCATCCAGATAGCATACTGTATGCTGGAAAATCGCTGATCGTCCATATCAAGACAGCACGCATCGTGAAATTTTCCTTCCTCGAGATGTCATATGTCTCAATACCATAACTCAGTAAATTACGTAATTCTTCAATCAACAGTTGAAGATAAATATCTAGACTTTTCTTCGGATGGTTTATCCCAAGAACTAATATAAAGAGAATGAAATATTCCTTTTTCATGCATGTCCCGTGAGGTAAATTGTATGGTGTTACTATGACGGGCCATACGGAATATGATTGACCATTCATACAAATTGGATTAAATCCATCTGTTGATAAGCCTAGATAAATATTACAACTCTCTGAAGCAAATGCAGGATATACCTTCTGAAAATGCGTCCATGCTTCTCCATCTGAGGGGTGATGCATTTCTCCAGCGGGGGACACATGTTCAGCATACCATCTCATTTGTGAAGTTGTCGTTGTTGATTGATATAATCGCTTTAACCGATCTGCAACTGGTAGATAGAACATCCTCTGTATTGGTATCTTCTTTCCTGACCGACCCACGTTTGGTTCGTACCGATCTTTTCCACAAAACCGACATTGAACCAAGTCTCGATCTTCTTTCTTCCAGAATAACATACAATTATCTTCACAGACATCAATCTCATGATGTGGCAACCCTAGAGACTGCGTCAACTTCTTCGTCTCATAGTATGATTCATGAACTTTATTGGGCGATGGAAGTACAGCTTTAAACGTTTGGGTAACATCATCTAGGAAGGCCTCAGAGAGATTGTATGTGGTTTTTCCAGTTCATCACTTTCGAGCTCAGATACAATTGAGAAATCACAACAGCATATCCTTCATAAAGAGGTTGATTTCCTGTTTCTAACGCCTGGAAAACACCATCATGAGTTGTCCCGTAATCTTGGTTATTTTCTGGGAAATTGACACCATCCGAAAACATGTGAACATCTTCAATTGAATAATGATATTGATCCACCGGAACTTCAATATTTGAATAATCGTTCCATGCTTCTTGGTCGAACACGTGTTAACTTGATGATGCTTCAACACCAAAGTAGCAATTTTCTCTATGATGCGTCCACACATAATTATTTTCTGTAAATCCTTTCAAGTATAAGTGGTTCGCCACGGTATCAGCATCACAACGCTTCATGTTCTTGCACTTCTTGCATGGACATAGTAAATCATTACGCTTAACATAAAAGTTTTGATTGCAAGAAAAAGAAACAAAAATATTTATTCCCTCAACAAAATCTTTTGAAATAGATTTTCGAGTAGAATCTGAAAATTAATTATACATCCATTCTCTATATTCTAAGAAATTAGATATTTTTGGTGTTTGTGACTTTGTTTTTATGGTTTCACAATAGTCGAAATGCTTGCATTTATAATGATAATATGCACCACGACTAGCCACGACTCGGTTGTAGCCCATATCGAATATATTCTCTGCCTATATTCCCGGCCAAAGCTGTATTGTGCAAATATTATAAAAAAAGTTAATAAGATTTTTTGTATCGATTTGTTACGAAATGACCTCAGCTACAACTAGCCACGACGTGTTCGTGTCTATATATAAATATCTGATGACATAACATAGCTACAAATTGCTACGTCATAAATTTGTGGCTAGTTGATAAAACACATTTGGTTCTTTGTGGCTAAATAGACACAAAACACATTTGGTTCTTTTTTATTAACTTAATCATATCACAAACAAGACAAATCATCACTAAATAGTAATCATGCACACAAGAAGTTCATTTGGTTTTGTATATCTAATTAACTTAATCATATCACAAACAAGACAAATCATCACTAAATAGCAATCATGCACACAAGAAGTTCATTTGGTTTTGTATATCTAATTAACTTAATCATTTTACAAAATGAGAATACTCATGACTACAAAAGCAACTAACGAATGCAAAGATGTTGTTCAGAATATTAAGAACAAAAACTTACCATAAACCGCCATTGAGCTTTCATGGGTGGAGACATTGCATGTTTCGTCTCTCTGGAGCAGGCTAGGAAGAGGATGCCAGGAAGACGTGGAGCTAGCTGGCCTTGTTGCTCCAGGAGGCAAACGAGTCTGGTGAAAATGACTGGAACGCTGTGTTTAAGGGCTTCGGAGATTCATCTACAAACGAAAAAGAGTGATACAGATCAATAGAGACAGAGAGATTTTGTGAGACAAGTGGAAGCGAAGTTGAATGATGGAGAGAAGAAAACTAAAGTCAAAGAAACTATAGAAAAAGAGAGGAAGAGACAGACAAACCTCAGCTTTGTTATCGTCGGAGATGCGAACAGATCGATACAAAGAGAGAGACAAGATCCAAACTTGAAGAAATGAGAAAGTAGAAAGATCGATACAGAGAGACAGGGAGTTAGAGATAATTGTGTTTGGTGGCGGAAGATACAATGACTTAGATTATTAGGGCTTCTAGATACTTTAACCAAAACAATTGCCACTAAATCTCTAAAATTATAACGAAATAACCAAAGATTAACCGGGAAAATAACTTTGGCGGCCAAAACTTAAGCGGGGAACTGAAATTTTATGTGCAAATTTTTTGATATTTCCATTGCTACAATATAATGTTAGACTAATCGTGGCTATAAACTTTAAAAATAATTGAAATTAGAAATTATTTAGTTTGATAATTAATTTTTTATTTTTATTTATTTTAAATTTTGTTTTCATTTACTTAAATTATTTATATTAATTTGAATTTCATAAACATAAACATAAATATATTAATATTTAATTAAAAAATTATTCAAATTACATTGTACAATCGATTATATACGAATTTTAATTTGAATCTGAATCGAAACTTGAATCAGAATATTCATGACACTCATCTTCTAAATCACCTTCAGAAACATATGCATCATTAGGATTATTTATCGGTATAGTCTCATAATCATCTGATATGTTTTGAATGAATGTGTTTCAACTAGCATAATATTAGTGCTTGTTGCCACTCTATCGAGAATGCCATCTTTAAACGCAATTTGAGAAACTTCTTGGATTTCACGAAACCCCCTTGGTATAACTTTTGTTATTGCCCACCATTCCTCTCTAACTGGACGCAAGCGTGGATAAGGAATGTAACAGACTTGGTCACATTGCTCTGGTAATATGAAAGGATCATATTTATCGTAATGCATCTGGGGACAAACATCGATAATACCAGATGGATGCTTTCGTATTCCTCGACCAAGTGTGGTGTTGAACCATTCACATTTGAAAATCATGGTTTTAGCCCAACGGCACCGTGATATTCTATCATGAATATATCTTTGATCAGGCCAAAATACTTTGTGTCACCGGTTTCACAAACACACATACCATAGTTCATCGTCTTTCTGTTTTGTCCATGGTGATGTGTATGATAGTGGTATCCCCTCGAATAATACATAGGCCATGAAGTGAATTGATGTTGTGGACCTTGTACAAACTCAAGCATCCACAATGGAAAATCATATGACTCGCTAGCATCGTTAATCTGCAATAGTTTTTAAACTTTTAATATAGATAAGATACAAAAAAATTAAGTATTAAATTTTAACTCCTACGGAGTTTTTGCACCACTTTTCAAATTGTTCGTCTTTTGCTCTCGTCATTGCGTCAGATGTAATATTTGGGATGTTAAGCGTCATATACTCTTCAAACATCCTGTGTATAAATGTATGTATAATATATATGTATAGATTTTATACATTAAATTATAAATATTTGTTAAATATAAACAACAAAATATACCTTTCATAAGGTGTAAATTCTTCAAGGTTGAGTAGTAAAAATGTCTGGAGCACATTATAATCCTCGTCATTTAACCACGGCTTTGTTGATTTGCCACTGATTCTTCCTACTTGTTGGAACATGATCGGAACATCAGGATAATTGTAGGTGAATCGTACTTCGTGAACATCATCTTTGGGGTCGGGAACTTCTGAATAGAATATAATTGGCTGTTACGTATGATATCTCCTCGTTCACACACTGAGCAACTATCGACCCTCCAATCCGGGCCTTGTTTTTAACCTTCCTTTTCAGGTGATACATGTATCGTTGAAACTGATACATCCACCTATATTGCATCGGACCACCTAAAAAAGCCTCGTCTGGAAGATGTACAGGTAGATGTTCCATTACATCAAAGAACGACAGAGGAAATATTTTTTCAAGATTACAAAGCTTCATGGCAATATCTTCTTTTAATATTGCAACATCTTCGATCTTCAGAACTTTTGTAGATATATATCGAAAGAAGAGTGCAATATCTACACATATATATAATAAAAAAAAAGTGAATAGGATTAAATAAGTATTAAATAATAAATTTTAAAATATTTTATACATGAGATTGCCGTGTGAACATTTTTGGGAAGAAGCTCTGCAAATGCAACTGGTAGAAGTCGTTGCATGATGACATGATAGTGATAGCTCTTTAAACCTGTTATCTTCCCACTATCCAATTTGACACAATGTGAAAACTTGGACACATATCCATCTGAAAATTGGATATCATTCGTCAACCATGTCAGAAATTTTTGTCTACCCTCCTTTGATAATCTAATGTTGGGAACAAGCACGAAGAGAGGTCTATTCTTGATTTTACGGTATCTTTTGTCTTTCCTGGAACATTTAACACTGTGTTCATGAGATTGTCGAAGAAAATTTTCTCAATATGCATGAAATCAAGGTTGTGTCTGAGAAGTAGATGCTCCCAATACGGTAACTCCCAAAATATACTTTTTCACCTAATTGTGGTGAACACCATACCCCTCAATTTCTCTAGCAGCATTGTCATGTCCTTTGCCTCCACAATAAACAGACTTAAATAGTCCGTGGATGTTTTTTATCCTCTCATGAAGAATTTCATCCCCGTTTAACCATGGTGGAGGATCATCATGCATTGTTTTCCCCTTTCGAAAAGCTCTCACATTCCGCCTATAAGGATGTTCGAGAGGCAAAAACTGTCGGTGACAATTAAACCAAGAGTGTTTTCTTCCATTTGGCAACCAAAATGACTTTGTCTCATTCTTACAATACAGACAAGCCAACCTGCCATACGCCATCCATCCAGATAGCATATTGTATGCTGGAAAATCGCTGATCATCCACATCAAGGCAGCACGCATCGTGAAATTTTCCTTCCTCGAGACGTCATATGTCTCAATACCATCACTCCACAAATTACGTAGTTCTTCAATCAACGGTTGAAGATAAATATCTAGACTTTTCTTCGGATGGTTTGGCCCAGGAACTAATATAGAGAGAGAAAGAAATATTCCTTTTTCAAGCACATCCCGTGAGGTAAATTGTATGATGTTACTATTACGGGCCAAACAGAATATGATTGCCCATTCATACCAATTGGATTAAATCCATCTGTTGATAATCCAAGATATATATTACGACTCTCTGAAGCAAATGCAGGATATACCTTCTGAAAATGCGTCCATGCTTCTCCATCTGAGGGGTGATGAATTTCTCCATCGGGGGACACATGTTCTGCATGCCATCTCACTTGTGAAGCTGTCATTGTTGATTGATATAATCGCTTCAAGCGATCTGCAACTGGTAGATAAAACATCCTCTGTATTTGTATCTTCTTTCTTGACCGACCCACATTTTGTTCGTATCGTACCGATCTTTTCCACAAAACCGACATTGAACCAAGTCTCGATCTTCTTTCTTCCAGAATAACATACAATTATCTTCACAGACATCAATCTTATGATTTGGAAACCCTAGAGACCGCGTCAACTTCTTCGTCTCGTAGTATGATTCATGATCTTTATTGGGCGATGGAAGTACAGCTTTAAACATTTGGATGACATCATCTAGGAAGGCCTCTGAGAGATTGTATGTGGTTTTCCAGTTCATCACTTTCGAGCTCGGATACAATTGAGAAATCCCATCAGCACATCCTTCATAAAGAGGTTGATTTGCCGCATCTAACGCCTGGAAAACACCATCATGAGTTGCCCGTAATCTTGGTTATATTCTTGGAAATTGACACCATCCGGAAACATGTGGACATCTTCAATTGAATAGTGATATTGTTCCACCAGAACTTGAATATTTGAATAATCGTTCCATGCTTCTTGGTCGACCACGTGTTGACTTGATGATGCTTCACCACCAAAGTAGCAATTTACTCCATGACGACGCATCTGGTTATTGCACTTCTTGCATAGACATAGTAAATCATTACGCTCAACATAAGAGTTTTGATTGCAAAAAAAAGAAACAAAAGTGTTTAGAGCTATTTACCTACAATAACCTTACTAAATAGGGTATTAACTAGAATAACACCCTTCTACAACTGACTTACTACAATAACCTCACAAAGTTGTGCAAAGACATAAAACTCTAAATTTTCAACATAATAACAAAAATGCCATAAAAAAGCTATTTTCGTAATAAATTAAATAAATAAATAAAATAAAGAAAATAAACAAAAGGGAAAATATGTTTTGTTGTCCGATAATGAAAGTGAAACAGAAAAAAAAACAAAGAGGTTAAAACCTAAAAAAAAAAAGAAGGCGGCGTCGCAGCGAGGAGATTTGGAGATTTGAAGATTCCGGCTGCTTTGTAGGCGACAGATCGGAGGCGGCGTCGTAGGCGACGTATCGGATCGTTGCGAAGCGTCGGCGGCGTCATAGGCGACAGATTGGATCGGTGCGCAGCGTCGGCGGAGCAAAGGTACCGGAATTTTTAGTTTAATTTTCCAGCAGTTCTGACTTTGAGCTTCAAATCTAAGACCGTATTCGTTTATTGCAGAAAACTGTTTATCGGGATTGTTTAGATCCGCCGCCGGAAAATTGTTTTGCCTCTCCGTTGAGAAAGCTAAGGTCCGCCGACGACAATTTTTTTTGGTTACGAAATTGCATTGTTTATCGAGATTATATGAGACAACTAATTGTTACTTATGCTTTTTTATACAGATCTATCGGAGCTCG